AGACTGTATCTCAGTACAGCTTTTCCCACTCTTTTGTTGACTGTGAGGGCTACTCCATTTTTTCTACGGGATTCTTGCCCACACTAGTAAATATGATAATCATCTGAATTGAATTCGCCCATTCCCGTCCATTTTAGTTCACTGACGCCCAGGATGTCAATGTTTATTCTTACCATCTCCTGTTTGACCACATCCAGCTTACCAGGGTTCATAGATCTTACATTCCAGGTTCCTATGGGGTATTCTTCTTCACAGCATCGGACTTCCCTTTTACTTCCAGGCACGTCCACAGCTGAGCGTCCTTTCGGCTTTGGCCCAACCACTTCATTAGCTCTGGAGCTACTTGTCCTCGTCCTCCGCTCTTCCTCAGTATCATAGATCTTACATTCCAGGTTCCTATGGGGTATTCTTCTTCACCTCATCGGACTTCCCTTTTACTTCCAGGCACGTCCACAGCTGAGCGTCCTTTCGGCTTTGGCCCAACCACTTCATTAGCTCTGGAGCTACTTGTCCTCGTCCTCCGCTCTTCCTCAGTAGCATGTTGGACGCCTTCCAACCTGAGGGGCTCATCTTCCAGCGTCATATCTTTTAGCCTTTTGTTTCTGTTCATGGGGTTTTCTTGGCAAATATACTGGAGTGGCTTGCCAGTTCTTGCTCCAGGTGGATTGCGTTTAGTCAGAACTCTCCACTATGACCTGTCCGTCTTGGGTGTCCCTGCATGGCATAGCCCATAGCTTCTCTGAGTTACTCAAGCCCCTTCGCCACGACAAGGCAGCAATCTGTGAAGGGGTCAGAGGACATTACAAGCCATCAATATTTATTTTTCCATATCACTGAAGTTAAGCGAGGCTGTGGAAGTGCTGGACCAGGGTTTGGACAAATGTATGGGCTCGATGAGGGCCAGTAAACTGTGGCTTGGGATGAATTGTTCTGGATGGGACTGCACTCCCCCTAGAAGAGTGTGTAGCTTGAGGTACTGTTAGATCTATCTTTCTCACTGAAAGTCCAGGTAGATTTTGTTACTGGAAGTTGCTGGAGATACTGTCAATTGGCCGGCCAACTACAACCATTCCTGGATAGAGATCGCCTGGCCCCATAAGTACATCTACCAAGAGCTTTCAGTTTAGATTATTGCAGTATGTTCTGTGTGGGATCGTGCTTGAAAAGAACATGAATGCTATAGTGAGTGCAATATGTGGCACATACATTGATTGCAGAAGCACCTTATAGAACCTGGATGGCTTTAGTCCTAAGGAGTACCGGTGGCTGTTAGCACACTTCTATTCAGAGTTTAAAGTGTTGATAATAAATTTCAAAGTCCTAAATGTCTTGGAACCTAGTTGTTTCAAAGAGTAGCCAGGACTAACTAACTGAGATAATTTACAACTTGATAGTCCCATCCCCATGGTAATGAACTATTGTCACTTTCCCTATTTTCTGCATTCCCATCTGGTTATGGGGTTACATAGAAATATACTGGTCGGGTATTTGTATGCCAGTGTCTGGGGAAGTGGAGTTTGATCCATGAAACCTCACATTGAAATAAAATTATTAATCTTTAAAGTGCTACAATATTCTGGGCTTTTCTTTTTCCCTTTTTTCATTTGACAGCATCATCATAACAAGTTTCTCATTCATTAAGATCTGGTGGGGGCCCTCTCCCACTTTGCTCCATTGAGAGCAGTCCATTACAGGGAGACACAGGAGACAGCTTTTTATTGGATACCTCTGTTTATTTTGGTGTCAGGTTAAAACCTTGTTCCTCGTTCAAGTATTTGGCATCTAAGATCATGGAGCAGTTTCTGTTCTTTCAGTATGCTGTCTGTTTTTGTTTTACGTTGTTTTAAATTTTTCGATAATGTTTTATATGTGGGGTGCAGGGAAGACAGATTTCATTGGGTCCTTGAATTGTTTGAATAAGGGGGGAGTGTTGATTATTTGGGAAGGGACAAGAAGTACAGCAAATGCATGGGTTTTGGGACACAGCAGAAGATGATGTTCTAAAAGGGGAAATTAAAACAAGGATCTCTCATAGGTACTTGAGAATTGCACATTTGAGGGAAAGAGAGAGGAGGGGAGCAACTTACCTATTCGGGATGTATTTAGACATATTTGGATGTTTGTTATGGGATGGAAAATTGGGGAAAGTACAAATTAAGAAATCTTGTCTTTGAAAAAGGGGCACCAGGCAGTGGGCCAGAGCACTGACTAGGCATAGCAACTTTGTACTTTCATGTAATGCAAGATTAGCATAATATATTAAAGTACAGTAAACAAATTATAACTGAAAGTAAAGCCAGTTATTCATTGCAATAGTTTATTAATATGAGTTACTTCCTTCATCTGTTGTTCTGCTTTTCAATGTTGTTTTGCGGTATTTAATCAGTTACCATTTTCTTTTAAGGAAATGACTATATCTTGGTGTCTAAAGAGAGCGGAGCTTGTATTTAAGTGTGTTAAAGGTAAGTGCACATTACATTTTTCTTCTATTAACTGCTGGGAATGACAGTTTTGTGTCACTTCATGGGAACAGCCATAACTTAGTGTTTGAACACATGCATTGAAAACAAAAGGTCCCAGGCTGAACCGCTTAAAGTTTTCCACCTGAGACCTTGTGTAGCTGCTGTCAGTGGGAATAAATAGCACTGAACTAGTTAAGCCAATGATCTCAGTAACTATGAAGTAGATTCACATATTTAATGCCAACATGATTTGCTTTATTTCTTTACTATCTGACAACCAGACGTTAAAGTGAGTTACTATTTCTGGAGTGCTGTTGGATTTAGATCGCAAAGATGTAGGCTCAAATCTCGGCTTAGCCCTGAAGTTTACTGGGCAACTATTGACAGTTGCCAGGATTGTTATGAGACTAAAACTGAAAAGATTTGTGTGCACTATCCTGAGCTGCTTGAAGGAAGAGCAAGATGAACCTCTCAAAGCAAAACAATAAACCTTTTCCCCAGACATCTTATATACCCCACATTTGTGCTGTGCTTTCCTGCAGCAACATTCTTTTCACTTTGAATTTTCTTTCCCAGATCACTGTATTCCATCAACATAGAAGCATTTCCTTTAAACGTCCATATCTTTTGTAGAGCTATTTCAATTCAGAGGATGAATGCTAATTCATGTGCTTGCCTTCTGATTAAGCCATCCACGAATAAGGGGGGAGTGTTGATTATTTGGGAATCTGGATTAACCCTCGCTATGTGAAAACATCGCTGAACGGGACGGGGAAGCCCATTGGAATGCATTAAACATCGTTTAATGTGTTCCAAATCGGCCGAAAACTCACCGTTCAGCGATGCTTCCAGGGTCCGGCAGCCATTTTCGTGCCCTTGGAAGCGAGGGCTTAATGCTGCGCGCCGCCATTTTGGGGCTTCCAGTGGCCATTTTGAACCCGCCGAACAGCTGATCGTCGGGCTTCGTTTTGCGAAGATCGGTAAGCGATCGATGGCCCATAGGGGCCATCGGTATGCGATTGCATTTGCGATCGCTGAAACCCCATCGCTATGCGGATTCGTCGTTCTATGGTGCGCTCGTTAAGCGAGGCACCACTGTATAGCAAAGAAATGGTCCTTCCCAAACAGCTGTTAACAATTACAACAGAGTCATTATTGAGATAGTGTCTGGATTTGTGCCTTTTTTGTTGTTTATTTCTTACATTATTACACAGTAAAAAGGTGATGCTTCTCAAGTTAGTTCATTGTGTATTGTTCCAGTTAACACAAACTACAGGTGTGAGCTACTTGAGAACTGTCTGAAAACAATCAGCATTTTTCATTTATTTCATATAGTTGTCTTGCAAAGCAATCTGAAACATATTTATTCAGAAGTAGGTCTTGTTCTGTTTTTGAGGGGCTCACTCTTAGGAATATCTGTAAAGGATTGCAGCGTGAGCTGTACTGCATATCATATATGGAGTTGCATTGCATTTATTTTCGTCTTTTAAGTTCAGTTGTTTGCTGGCAGGTTTACTTGGTGTGCTTGAAAGCTTTATTTATTTCATAGTTTTGCTTTAATGTTTTATATTTTATGTTGTACATAATTCTGTACTTATTACAATGTTTTTGTTGTCTTCTATTAAAACAATATGGTGGATGGTAATGCAGGAAACTCTGTGTGTAGTATAGGATGAGGAGGATCGAAAATTCTGTTTCCTTCAATGATATTCCTCTGGATTCCCTGTTCCAATGAGAATTGAAACTCTGTGGGATGACAATCAAAATAGTGCAGCCTTGGCACAATTTATGTTTTTGTTTCAAGCCAGTCATTTCATGTTTTGTCATGAAGAATAAGCAAGTTCATAGTGGCTTTGCTCAGTACCAATATCTACGAGGTAGTCAAAGCATGGTAGTTAGGCACAAGATATGCAGCCATAATCAAAGGCATGAACTTGATTCTTGAGTAAATTTTCAGTTAAATCAGTGAACATTATTTTTTAGGATTCATGATGGAAATGGCTTCCTGGGATGGCGGGATTTCTCGAACTGTGCAATTCCTAGTACCTCAGGTTGGTTTTCTTTTTCTTTTACATTAACCTTTCACACATGCTACATGAGAAATTGCCCATACATTTTTCTGTTTTATTTGTCAAGATTGTAATTTAAAAATAATCTCAATTTACTGTATTTATTTTATTTAATTAAAAATATTTTTATCACACCTTTCTCATTAAAAAGAACCCAAGATGGCTAAAACTGGTCTGAAAGTCCCGCATGATCCCATGTTTATATATATATTACTTAGTAGGATTTATTCTTACTTTGTCCTAATAAGTGAACAGAGGTTTGTGTATTGAATGAAATGTCCAATCTGGATTCAGTCTCCATTCTCTGGCTGATTCTTAGCAGGGACAATTAATTTTGCACTATGATTTGCAACAGAGCCACCTTGTAAAGTCATGAGATGTTGGGACTGTAGAGTCATGTGAAAAAGAAACTACACTGTCCTTGAGTTCTGTGGGTTTTTTTGTATCAGGACATAATAAAAATCATCTGGTCCTTAGCAGGTATGAAAATTAGGTAAATGGAACTTCAGATGAACAACAACACATGACATATTACACCGTGTCCTGATTTATTTAACAAAAATAAAGCCAAAATGGAGAAGCCATGTGTGAAAAACTAAGTACACCCTTGCTGCTTCCATATAAATTAAGAAGCTAAGTAGCAGCCAGATGCTGCTAAACAAATGCGCTTAAGTAATCGATCATCAAGTGTGACCACCTCTATAAAAGCCGATGTTTTGGCAGTTTGCTGACCTGGAGCATTCAGGTGTGTGTTAATAAAGTACCAAGAAGGAAACACATCTACTGTGATCATAGAGAAACAACCGTTGCTGCCCATCAATCTGGGAAGGGTTATAAGACCATTTCCAAAGAATTTAAACTCCATCACTCTACACTGAGGAAGATGATTCACAAGTGGAAAATATTCAAGACAGTTGCCAATATTCCTAGGAGTGGACGTCCAAGCAAATTCATCCCAAGGTTAGATCATGCAATGCTCAGAAAAATTGCATAAAACCCAAGAGCTGCATCTCAGACTCTACTTGCCTCAGCTAGCATGAAAGTTCATGACAATGCAGTTACAAAAAGACTGAACAAGTATAGTTTGTTCGGGAGGGTTGCCAGGAGAAAGCTTCTTCTCTCTAAAAAGAACATGGCAGCACAGCTTAGCAAATTTTCATCTGGAAAACCACAAGATGTTTGGATCAATGTCTTTTGAACAGACAAAACCAAAGTGGAGATGTTTGGCCATAATGCACAGCACCAGGTTTGGTGAAAACCAAACACAGCATATTAGCACAAATATCTCATACCAACTATTGAGTATGGTGACAGAGGGGTGATATTTTGCAGCCCCAAGACCTGGGTGCTTTGCAGTCATTGTGTGGACCATAAACTCCTTTGTATAGCAAAGTATTCTAGAGTCAAGTGAGAGGCCATCTGTCCAACAGCTAAAGCTTGGCCAAAATTGAGTCATGCAACAGGACAATGATCCTAAGCACACCAGCAAATCTACAACAGAATGGCTGAAAAAGAAAAGAATCAAGGTGTTGCAATAGCCTAGTCAAAGTCCAGACCTCAATCTGATTGAAATGCGGTGGTGGACTCTAAGAGAGCTGTGAATAAACAAATGCCCAAAAAAACTCAATGAACTGAAGCAGAGGAAAGAAGAATAGGCAAAAATTCCTCCACAAGAATGTGAAAAACTGATAAAGTCATACAGAAAACGTTTGCTTCAAGTTATTGCTGCTAAAGGTGGTTTTATAAGCTAATGAATCATAAGGGTTACTTATTTTTTCACACATGGCTTCTCCATTTTGACTTTGTGTAATATGCTACGTGCTGTTGTTCAACTGAGGTTTTATTTATCTAATTTTCAGACCTGCTAACGACCAGATGATTTATATTATGTCCTGATTCATAAAACCATAGAATTCAAAGAGGGTGTACTTTCTTTTTCACATGATTGTAAATCTCTTATTAAGTTAGAACAAAACTGAGATTTTTAAATTACCAATGTTCACAGTTTTCAGCCTGAGGTTTCACAGATTATACTTATAATCATACAAAAGATTATTTAAAAGCAGGTCATGTCTATTTATTTATAAGGAGCTAATATAAACTCAGCATATCTGCCTGAGTACATGAATAAGCTGGGAAGTTCAAAACCTTCCCTCTCCTTGTCCTTCTTCATGACAAACAGATTAGAATACTTAAAGAGACTCTTGAGGATGGACATGTTATAGTGTAAAAATGAAAGAAAAAATTAAAGAGAGTTATGATTTCAGACAGCTATAGTGAAGAATCAAGTAGTGATTCATCTTTCTATTGATTCTTCATGTTTCTTTTCATTTTCACAGAGTATTTCAGAAGAGATGTTCTACCAGCTGAGTAATATGTTGCCACAGATTTTCCGTGTTTCATCTACACTTACTCTTACATCCAAACATTGAGTTCCCTCAAATACACTGGAAAAAAACTGTAGGAGGACAACATAGGATTCATTTTGTTCCATGAAGCACTTGTTCATCAGTGAATGTGATTATTGTGGACATTCATGACAAAACTGGAATCTAAAGACACCTGCAGTGTGCAAAATAAATCTATGTTTGCATCAGGAAGAATGAAATATTTTGTGTATCCCCCACCCCCTGTTTCTGGCTTGAGCATTCCCACCATATTGAATGGTTTTCTGAGAGCACCCTGGGGTTCAGAAGCAAGTTGTGGAAGACTATAGGAACTGTGGTAGGAAAAAATGTTGTGTATCAGCTTGTAACCCTGTATCCTGGCCTAGTAATTCGTAGTAGAATTTTCAAACAAAAGGAGGGGGAAATCTTTTGGTTTGTTTCAGATTTGGATTCCTTGACACAGCCTTTGTCTGATGAGGTTCTGAATATGATATTAGTTTTTCTTGCCTTGACATCACTTTACGTAAAATAACATCTTTGGATTTGTGAAACAAAGTATACTAGGGGGAGAAGGACTGAAGAATTCTGCTCTCGGGATTAAAGCTCTGGCCTAGAATCAGTAGGCTAGCCCCAACTAGATAGATCCATTGAATCAATTGGCTTTACGTAAGTTTTGATTTATTGTTCAATGGATATATTCTTAGTGGCCAAGCAATTGGATTTATACTTTGGCTTACAAAAGTATTCCAAGCCAGATATCACTGGGAAGCTCACAAGCAGAAGGTATAGCTTGCATCTGTCAGTTGTCATTATTCAAAGAGAGTTACTAGCTCTGAATACAGAGCTTCCAAATAATAGCAGTGGCTGATCTGTTCACACATAGACTGGTCCTCTGTGATTTAGTCCCACACATTATGGTTTTTTCCTTTGTTTTCCCTTACAGAAGTCATCCAAGTAAATGAGCAGTTAATGTCATGTTAATTATTCCTTTGATAGAGTACTCTCTGAAACTCCTGTATGAATGTAATTGGGGCACCCTGAATTAAATTATCAATTTCTTTTTTGATTTATTATGAATAATTATTTTTGTTCCTAGCAGTGAATAAGGGGAAAGGATGAGATGGAGGGGACAGCTGAAGGTTGCCTCTGGGTATGCTTGTTTTCTTCTGAGCAACCATTTTACAGCTGCTGTGAGAATGCTGCTAAAGGTCAGTATGGAGACTCGGCAGAAGCAAGTTCCATGTGCATTCCAGCTGTGAACATATGGTTGCTGCTTGTCTGTTTTAAGGGGGAATTTTCAGTGCTCCCTTGCATGCTTGCCTTGACCTCCCTTCGTGCCACCGTCTCCCTTCGAAGCTTCTCTAATCCCATGTGCAATAGGCATTCTGTACAGGAGATGTTTGGAATATCTTCCTCTCGCCATTAGTACAGCAGCTACGAATCAGTTTCTTTTATTTAGAGGTCTTTAGTCAAGCCATACTTTGTATCTACATGCAAAGGTCTTCATGAATCACTAGGCCTGTGATCAAATTATAAACCTCAGAACATCTAAGATATTTAAAAATAAAGGTTGAGCCAAAAATGTAACAAGCAACTCTTAGCAATTTTCTGTACATGTTGCAAGCATTTTAGTGCTTTTCTATCTGGGACCATTTTGTCAACTGATCCTGTAGAGGTATACTTTAAATAGTACCTGACAAATTTTATTTCTATCATTAAGGAGAATTTGATTATATATAATGATTATTGAATTGGAATGAGGGCACTGGAATAAATTTATGTTCAAAAAGCATTATTCCATTCCTCAGCTGTCATTCAATGAAAAGTACAGTGGTGCCTCGCTAGACAATGATAATCCGTTCCACTGAAATTGCTGTTTAGCGAAATCATTGTCTAGCGAAAAGCATTTCCCCATTGGAATGCATTGAAACCTGTTTAATGCGTTCCAGTGGGGAAGAATCGTCATTGTCTAGCGAAGATCGGCCATAGGAAAGCCGCTTTGTGAATCGCCGATCAGCTGTTTAAATCGCTGTCTTGCGAACCTTAGGTCCCCAAAACACCTGTTTTGCAAGCACGGAGGGAGCTGTCAAAATCGTCATCCAGCAAAAATCGGTTTGTGACGCAGGGACCAAACATTGTCCAGCGAAATCCCCCCATAGGAATCACTGTTTTGCGAATCGCTATAACGATCACAAAAAGTCAATGTCTAGCGAAAAACTGTCATGTGGGGTAACTGTCTAGCAAGGCACCACTGTATATTTTACATGGCCATTTACATGGATTGCAATGCTGAAGCTATTAATTGCTATAGGAAGTCTATGTATAATTCTTGTGTACCTATATGCCTCATTCTTGGGACTTGGTCCACAATTTTTTAGGCGCAGGGACATGTGTATAGTAGAAGACAAGGTGCAAATTTATGATGCAAATCTTTATGCATTGTACTGTCATTTGCTTTAAAGCTGTATGATATATACCGTATGTTTTCATTTTTCAAAGTAAAAATTGTTTAAAATATTACACTATTTAAAGCAAAGAAAAAATACAGTCTGGTAGTAAAACCATAAAAGAGTACTATAAATTGTAACATCACTAGAAGTAGTTCTGAAAGTAGTAGCCATGTTATTCTGTGCAAGCACATCAGACAAAAAAAGAGAGAGAAAGAGAAAAAGTTGCGACAATTTTCCGATTAGCTGCTATATTTTAATGTGAGTTTTTGTGGATCAAGTTCACTTCCTCAGACATAAGGGTGAGACTGTATGACTGTCATATTCATACACAATGTGTCAACTGTGCTATTGTTACCTTATAATTGACATTATTCACAACCTGATAGACAATTCAATTACTAATGAACCATAGTCACACTGCTTTGTCTGAGGAAGAGGATTACATCCACAGAAGCTCTCATTAAAATATAGCAGTTAATCTTTAAAGTGCCACAACATTTTTGTCTCTTGTTTTTGTTTTGTTTTGTTTTTGTCTGATAAAATTACTATTAGTACCTTGCTGTATATTAATCAGAGACTACTAGAATAAATTGATTCAGTCTACAGTTGGCAGCAGATATGCCCTACTCTGGAAAGTCTACCTGATCCACATCAAGAAAGGCCCTCCACTCCAACACAGTCAAATAAACACTGTTTCAGAAGAGTATATTATTTAACTATAATTTATTTAATTATAATGAAGCTCATTTAATGACAGAAGTAGATCTTCCTCATCTACCAGATTTAGAACATGCTTTCATAGTATCATTTGACAAAAATAAAACTTTGCTTTTGATGGAACAAACTATTTACATTTTATATTTAACACTGTCAGTGGTGAGGCTATTATTTCAGAACACTTTCGAAATCTGATCTTCATCTTGCATATGTTGAGCAGCGTCAGATGCCTTTGCTCTATGGCTTGGAGAGAAGAGGACCATGAGCTAGCTTTAGGGTATGGTATTCACAGTTATGTTTTTTTGCATCTGTTGAAACAAAATCAGGACGACATACTAATTTCAGCACCAAGTACAAGTCAAGGCAATAGCAATTTTTATCATCATATACAAAATTCAAACGTGTATTCGATTTTGGCAAAAATTATCTTACTGTGGCCAGGAAAATATGAAATGGAGCATTCAAACAGGATGCACTGACCTTTCATAGTACAGTTGTTAACCAAATGTGATTCCTTAGGTCTCAATCCCAGTTATGTTAGTGGCATTTCCATAAATCAGGTGGAAAACCCTTATGTCTTGGTTCACAGACTGTCTGTAGGCTAACGTTATTTGTTCCTTAAACTAATTCAAAACCTTTCTGTAAGTGTACAGTTCTCTAACAATCTAGTGTCTGGCAGTAGCCTGCTTAGGAGTAAAGGAAGAAAGTGAGAAAAAGAAAAAAACAGGGCTTGCTTCTTGCAAGTGTTTATGCCCCCGTGAGAGAATGTGGCTGCCAAAGGAATAAAGGTTCCACAGCCATTCTATGGAATTTTCCTGTTACCCTTCTTAGCATTTGCCTCCTCTACTATAAACATTAATAGTCTGAGGAAGTGGACTTGTCCACAGAAGCTCACATTAAAATATAGCCGTTAGTTTTTAAGGTGCCACAACGGGGTAGGGAAACAGCATAATACCCTGAAATACATGGTATAGGTTGTAAAGCTAAAATAGCTAACAGTAGGAGTTAGAGCCAAATCACCGATCATGAAAATACTGGGGAAATTAGAGAACTCTTGGCCTGGCACCAAAAAGCAGTTACCGGTAAATGCCAGGTGGTGGTTTCTTTGTGAGAGCAATTAAAAACTAAAGAGCCAAAACCATCTTTAAGCTGAACCCAGAAAAGAATTAGAACCAGAGCTTGGAATGTTAGGTTTAAGAATTTTTTTAGTTATGTGTTAGAAACTATGACATTAACTCAGAGATGTTAACATTTAAAAGTGAAAATAGTATTTACCTTGATAAACTGGTGTCATTAATATGTTAGTTTAAATGTCATTTAGGTCTTCAGCAGTAGGTTAAGCCTACTGAAACCATTAGTTTTGCCTTCTGTAGAGACAGTTTGTAGTTTTGCTATTTTGTGGTTTTGCTGTAATAACATTATTTGTAAAACATCATCCATGCGAGACTGAAGGTAGGGTTTTCTTTCTTTGTTTTTTTAAATGTGGCACAAAGCAGATGACCTGATTTGGGTGCAATAGCAATAGGGTTATTATGACGCCAGTAGCAGGCCTGCAGCTTGCTGAGGTGCCTTTTAAGAAATGTACTTGAAATGCATTTTATTAAGTTTGTGATTGCCAATGATGAGGTGCTTGCTGGTAATGGATTTTGTAACAAAAGTAATATGTTAATGTTAACATGTTAATTACAAGTTCGGATTAGAATTTATCACAATTTCGTATGCATGCTTCTTGAGTCTTTTTTGTGTGTAATTGGCTTATTAACAGAATTTTACAGCGGTCCCAATTTTTATCTTCTGTTTGTAGAATTTCCATGCTCTCCACTAATCTTTTTCCTTGCAAAATAAAAATACATTAAGAAGAAAAAGGTAGAATAGTTGCCTGCTCCCTTATGTCTTGCAGCAGAACTTTCTGAAGGTAGCCTTAGCAGATAAATAGGAACTTGTGAACTGGGAGAAGGAATACCGTGCTAAAATTCCGAACAGCCTATAGCTGAGACAGTGGTTTTTCTGGTCAACCACAGATATTAACATGGCAATGATAACATGATTAAGTTACCATCCGTTACTCCATCAATGAATGGATACTGTTGTTTATTTTGTACATATTTACACTGCACATAGAATAGACACACACCATGCTTTTTGTATTTTGTAGCCATTTGGAACCATTTTTAAATTTTGTCTGTATCTAAGGAACAAGGGAATCAACGAAGAACTAGCCAATGACGTGAAAATAATGGAAGCTTGGGTATCATTACATCTTGTTATAGAGAAGAAATGGGAAGCCAAACATAGCTGGATGTGTGCTTTGGGCTTTAAGAAAGCTAATTTCAGTAAGTTTAAGGACAATTGTATGAGAGCTCATGGTCAGAAATACTGTGAGAGAACAGCGTCCATTGTGGATATGAGTTTTAAGTAGTGAAATTTTGAAGGCATATTTACAAACATTTCCAATAATGTTCTTGTTTCAATAGCACCTAAAGAAAAAAAATGGGCTACATGAGGATCATATGGCTGAACAGAGGTTTAAAAGGAACATTTGTAAGAAATGGAAGAATAATCAGATTTTGAAGGAATAGTATAATAAAGTATCCAATATTCGTGCAAAGGATTTCAGGAGGGTTAAATTTCTGAATGAGCTCAGACCTGCAAGAGAGGTTAAAAGAAGTAGAAAGAAGATTTTTGGCTTTATTTGGATCAAGAAGAAAAACAAGAAAGCAGCAAATCTGCCACACGTGGAAGATAGAGAAATGCAAATAGCTGACAGAGAGAAGATGGAATTCCTTAATTCCTACTCTGCCCCCATCTTCCCCCAAAATGCAAACAGTTCTCCATACAGAAAAATAGAGTAAATAGTGCAGTGAAAGAGAATGAAACCCAAGATAAGTAAAGAGGTAGTATATAGAACACATAGCTACTTGACTTTAAGTCTTTAAAAGCTAGATCAACTGCTTTTTAAAATACTAAGAGAACGTACATATGTTATCTCAACCTCTATCTGTGTCAGAGTACTTGGAGAACAGGTGAGGTTCTACAGACTGGAAGTGGACAAATGTCTCAGTCTTCAGAAAAGGGAGTAAGGCAACTACTGCTTGGTCCATGTGACATCAATACTAGAAAATGTTCTAGAACAGATCGCTAATAGTTGATCTGTAAACACCAGGAAAGGAATACTATGATGATTGTGACGATCGCCCACATCACTCATGCCATTCATATTCATGAGCTGATTTGTATGAACCTATGAGAGGACTGGAAAGGCGGAGTCAGCAGCTACATGAGGTTTAGCGGGAGAAGGAGGAGTCAGATAAGGGCTGATTAGTCAGAGAGAGGGAATAGATACTGTGAGAGAAAAAACTGGTTAAGAAAATAGAGAAGGTGGTAATGATATAGCAAGAAAAAGAATTATGTACAGTACTGAGAGAACTGTGTTCAGACAAACGTCATTTATATTGTGGATTGAGGTAATCCACTGGTGGCAGCGAGAGGAAAACGCGACGTGAGCCTTTGTGAGGGAAAGACCAGCAGGGGCCACAAGGGCAAACACCACAATGATTAACATGGGCTTCTCAAAAAAAAAAAGTTACTCCTCACTAATCTTCTCATTCTTTCTTTTGGTAGATGAAAAGAATGCTATGGATGTAGTGTCTGTTAATAGGGGTTAAATCAGCAACCCCCATGATATGCTTGTGGGCATATCTGTGAAGATTCTCAGTCATCCAGGTGAGGTTATCTGGTACTTGAGTCATGACAACTGGACTTCTTTCTTGTTAGGCTGAAACGTTTCGCTACTCATCCAAGTAGCTTCTTCAGTCTGAGGAGAGTTGGTAGGAAATCCCTGATATATTCTCCACATTGGTCCTTCTAACGAGCCTATTCAGACCAGGGGGAAGGACCAGGGGGAAGGAAAACCAACATGAAGGATATATCAGGGGTCTCCTACCAACTCTCCTCAGACTGAAGAAGCTAAATGTTTCAACCTAACAAGAAGGAAGTCCAGTTGCCATGACTCAACTTCCAAATAAGCTGGTAAAATGTGGCCTACTTGATCCTATTGTTAGGTAGAAATGTTCCAAAAGGCTTTTAATTGAAATAACATCAACTGTGGGTCCTGATGGCAATTTTTAGAGTATTTATTTCAATTGTACAGTGGGGTCTTGACTTGAGAACTTAATCCGTATTGGAAGGCGGTTCTCAAGTCAAAAAGTCTGTAGGTCAAGTCTCCATTGACCTACAGTGCATTGAAAACCGATTAATCCCGTAACAGGCCGTTTTTGTTCCATTTTGGTTTTTTTCTGGTCTGTAAGTCAATTCTCAGGCTTCAAGTCAAACCTAAATTTTGCGGCCAGAGAAGTCTGTAACTCAAAAAGTCTGTAAGTCAAGCCATGTGTAAGTCAAGGGTCCACTGTATTTTAATCATTTTCTCTTTTATTGTATTTTAATTGTATTTGAATTGTTGTAAGCCGCCCAGAGACCTTTGGGTAGAGTGGGCGGCATATAAGTCAAATAAATAAATAAATAAACCACCAATGGTTCCTTGTCATCTTGAGGAAAATGACAAATGGGGTACCACAAAGTTCTGTCCTGGGCTCAGTTTTGTTTAATGTTTCATAGATTACTTGGATGAAGGAGTAGTGGGGTTGGTTTATCAAACTTGCAGGTGACACAAACTGGAAGCAGTAGCTAAGGATTCAGGATGACCTTTACACATGAGAGAGCTAGACCAGAAACTAAATACAACAGTGTAAGGTACTGACATAAAAATAGCTAATGCAAATACAACAATGCTTGGGTTAAGGGCACCAGACCCTCATGCAGTTCAAAATCTGTATATAACTCTTTTGCCCCCAAAACTTACCTACCAAACAGAAACAGTTGATTCACATGTACACATGCACATGTGTACACACAGAGAACAGTTCTCTCTATCGAGATTCTCTTTCATAGCATTGACAATTCTTTCCATATAGCACTGTGTGTAATGCGTTCTTACAATCCCCTGATCTAGAGGCTGAATTAGAGATACTGTGTATGGGGGCAAGTAGACCACTTTGACACCTTCAGTGTTGATCTTATGGAGTTTTGGTTGGCCAGGGGCACAGTACTTATTGAATATTTATTTATTTATTGAAATATTTATTTACTGGGGAAAAATCTGCAAAACCAAAACTGCTGCTCAGACCCATACAGTTCAAGGGAGACGTGTGTAGTGTCTAGATCTAAGGAAATAATAGTATTATCTTCTGCTTTGATTAGACATAATCTTGACACATCTGACTCTGAGTATCATAGTTTAAGATGTAATGATACCCAGAGAAGAGTGTTCGGGATGGTAAAGGGCTTGGGAACCAAGTACTGTGGGACAATTGAGGGAGCTGGATACATTTATCTTGGAGAAGATAAAACAGTGAAGTTATATTATCGCCATCTTCAAATAATATGCAAGGCTATCATATCAAAGATAGTTCAGACTTGTTTTCTACAGAAAGTATTATCACAAGGAATGGATTTAAATTACAAGAAAAGAGATTCTGATTAAACATTAGGAAGACCCTCATGATGTTAACAGCTGTTCAACAGGGCAACTGACTGCCCTGGGAAGTATTCAGCTGTCATTTGCTGCTGCTTGTTAAACACAGGTTAAATGGCCATCTGTTAGGGATGCAGAGGGTTGGACTACATGATCTTTGGTGTCCATGCCAACTCTACATACTATTTATTTATTTATTTTATTTTATTTTATTTTATTTTATTTATATCCCGCCTATCTGGTCGGTTAAGACAACTATAGGCAGCTAACAGCATAAAATAGTATAAAAAATTTTAAATAGAAGAAACCTTAGGAGAGGGAGGAAACAATAGGAGAGGGAGAGGAGAGGGCATCAGGAATTGTCTGGAGGGAACGCCTGCCGAAACATCCATGTTTTTAGTTGATTTTTAAAGATACCCAGGATACTAGGATTTTATATATGCATGTGCATGCCAGCTGAGGATAAAGTGGGCTCTAAAGTGCATCTGTTGAAGCAGAATCTATTGGAAAAAATACACATGCCATAATAAATCTATTAGCCTTTTTGACTTCAGAAGGAATATGAAAACAATTGTATATAATAACGTACAATGCAATGAAATCATAAAGCAACAGTTTTCACATGACGATGAGTCCTCTAATGGGAGAGGGTGGAACATCTGAAGGGGGTATGAAATTCTGGTAAAGAAAGGATCCTGGTGCATATTGATCCTGTTTTAATCCCAGTTAAGATGTGAAGTGGCAGAACACCTCTTAGTACTTAGCAGAAAATTCATATTGCTCAACATGGGAATTCTGACACTCTTCCCATCATCTCAACCTGAAAAAGGAAGAGTTGCTGCACTGTTCAAGCAATACTTCTTTATGCATGAATTTTCCAAAGTTTCAAGCAGTTGAAGAACCTCCACAGATACAGAAGCCTCTTTAGTTCATACTTTAATTCTGCACACATAAAGGAAACAGACTGCCTTGGAAAGAGAAGGACTCTCCTTCCAGCTCTACTGCAGAAAGGAGCAGTCACATTCTTGTTATTCCTTTCAGAGATTGTGAGATGAGCTGCAGCTACAATGCCACTGTGGTTTTTCATATCAAGAGAGGTGGTTTAAAACAATGAATAAAGAGGTTCTAAGGTACCCCTTCAAGAATTGCTGCCTTGTCGTGGCAAAGGGGCTTGAGTACCTCAGAGAAGCTATGGGCTATGCCGTGCAGGGACACCCAGGACAGACAGGTAATAGTGGAGAGTTCAGACTAAACGGGATCCACCTGGAGCAGGAACTGGCAAGCCACTCCATATCTTTGCCAAGAAAACTCCATGGACAGAAACAAAAGGCTAAAAGATATGACGCTGGAAGATGAGCCCCTCAGGTTGGAAGGCGTCCAACATGCTACTGAGGAAGAGTGGAGGACAAGGACAAGTAGCTCCAGAGCTAATGAAGTGGTTGGGCCAAAGCCAAAAGGACACTCAGCTGCGGATACGCCTGGAAGTGAAAGGAAAGTCCGGTGCTGCAAAGAAGAATATTCCATAGGAACCTGGAATGTAAGATCTATGAACCTTGGTAAGCTGGATGTGGAGATGGTAAGAATCAACATTGGCATCCAAGGCGTCAGTAAACTAAAATAGATGAAAATAGGCGAATTCAATTCAGACAATTATTGTATCTACTATTGTGGGCAAGAATCCCAACAAAAGAGTGGGAAAAGATGTACTGAGATACAATCTCAAAAATGATAGAATGATTTCAATATGAATCCAAGACAGACCTTTCAATATCACAAGAATCCAAGTTCATGCACCAACCACCAATGCTGAAGAGGCTGAAATTGATCAATTCTATGAAGACTTACAACACCTTCTAGAACTGACACCAAAGAAAGATGTTCTTCTCATTCTAGGGGATTGAAATGCTAAAGTAGGGAGTCAGGAGATAAAAGGAACAACAGATAAGTTTGGCCTTAGAGGTCGAAACGAAGCATGGCAAAGGCTAATAGAGTTTTGTCAAGAGAACAAGCTGGTCATCACAAACACTCTTTTCCAACAACACAAGATGTGACTCTACACATGGACATCACCAGATGGGCAATACCGAAATCAGATTGATCATGTTCTCTGCAGTCAAAGATGGAGAAGCTCTATACAGTCAGCAAAAACAAGACCTGGAGCTGATTGTGGCTCTCATCATCAGCTTCTTATAGCAAAATTCAAGCTTAAACAGAAGAAAAAAGGAAAAACCACTGGGCTAGTCAGGTATAATCTAGACTAAATCCCTTATGAGTACAGTGGTGCCTTGCATAACGAGCGCACCGTTTAACGATGAATGTGCATAGCGATGCAGATTTTGCGATCGCTAATGCGATCACATACCGATGTTTTAATAGGGCGAAAATTGCTTTGCGACAATCGGTAAGCATTTCGCTCACCGATCTTCGCATTGCGATGGGGGAACAGCTGTTTGGTGGTTCCAAAA